AGGTGTATGTTTTGAATGGGTTTTGGGTGGTTGGACTGATGTACGTGTCTTGGACCAATCAGACTGAAGCTTCTATGGACAACCAATCCAATTGCTGCTTGCAACAGTTGCAATTTCAGTAAGTATGTGTGGATTCTTGCTGATGTCAGCTAAACACTGCTTCAAAACAATGGCAGAGAAACCATTGTCATTTGGCGGTGCTTCACATGGGATTATGAGGATCAAAATTGAAAGTATGAACTGATATATATTTTCGGGTAGAAAAGGTGTTTTCGAATGAGCATTTCTACTGTGAGTGCTTTGGAAATACCTACAGAAAGCACTGAAACCAGTGAAAATGTTACCTTGAGGTAGAACTAGCCAGCGCTGGCTCGTTTTGGCAAAGTGGTGCTTCCAACAATCCATGTATGGCAATACTAACAAATCATCTCCGCATTCTTGCTGAGTTGTTCCGTGTTGTTTTACGCTGGATCCAGGGAACTGAAACTATGATCCGATATTTTTTTGGAGGAAAGGTGTTTTCAAATATGGCCTTTATACTGTGGAAATACGAACAGAAATCTTAAAATCAGTGAAATTGTCAGCTTGAGGCGGAACGAACAAACACTGTCTTCTCTAAAAGTAAGGGGGCACTTTTCTGTCGATAGTGATCAAACTGTATATTTTTTACTGCGTTATATAACTAATTTAATTTTTAAATAATCTATTTTCCGCAGTTTCTCCAATGTTCAATGTTGAATCGTGCAAAGTCCTGCAGTTAAAGTTTTGTTTATAACGAATTCAATCTAATGTAATGCTTAATGCTTTTTGCAAGTGGTCACAATGTAAGGTTATTTGTTACCACTTTGTTTATATTGTTTTTAGTTTCTACACTGTCTAATCTTAAACTCTGTGAAGTCTCAGAGCGGTACAGATGTTTGAACTTTTTTTAATTGTAATGACAACAGTTAGGTAAATTATGAATAAGTTCACTGAGCTTAAAAAATTATTTTTGTTGTGGAAGCAAATGTAGCAAGCTAATTTTGTTTTTAGGTAAGCTTTCAAATGGTAACTTGACACTTGTTTTTCAGGGATGAGCAGTTTCAATAGAACTGATGAATCAGTGATTCTTCTTGTTATTTGTGTTTCTAGGGGCATTTTGATATATAATTTGTAGTTTTCCAATAAAGGGAATTTCAAAATATTGATATTTGTCGGAGTTTTTCTAAAGGTTTTCAATTTTAGTACGGAAAGACTCCAGGGCAGCTAGTTGAACAGCAAATTTATTAAATCAGACGTGAAGGCCAGCCAGTTGGAAACTTAACATGGCTCCTTGCACAACCTCCGGGGCATGGGACATTTTGAATTCTAAAACCATCTTGGATGCAAAATTAAGATCTCAGTGGAAGGGAAGGGAGATGAGCATGCAAACATCACATACTGACTGAAACAATGAGAGCCCATTCTTGTATGCGACTACTTTTTGGAATGTCCTAGGTGGTCCTTTGACTGTATATGAAACAATTCTTGTTGTCAGTAGTATTCTAGAAAGTTTGTTGGATGTGACAAACTTCACTGTCAAAATGGACACAATGTCCTTTGTGGAAATTAGATATGGTGATGGAAATTTTGCATTGCTATCATTCCATTTGAAAGTATGCAAGACCAGATCAAGGTTCTTGCCTGCGAAGGGGGTGTGGAGAAAATGTCACGAGATACAAGTGCTTTTTAGATTTTTTATTTCAATTCTATTTCATGTGCATCTAGCGATGACTCTGTGATACCCCCAGTCACCTAGTTCAATGTTGTGTAGGTGCTGTGATCTGTGTCGTCTTAGAAATAGGAAAATCAACATTGTTTGGGAGGAAGGGGAATGTTTCCAGGGCAATCAAAACCCAATCACATTGTGGGTTTTATTAAAGAACCAATCAAATTGTCGGTTGCAAAAAAGGGACAGTATGTTGTTAAAACAGATTGCACAATTACCAGAGGTAAATTTTGGATCTCTCAGAAAGTTACTTTTTCTGTAACTCTTTTTTTGTCTCCAAAAAGGCTTTCAGGTGTTGAGAAGGGTTATGTGACAAGAAAACTTCCAAAACTCTGCAGATTTTGTGTCATCTTATTAAATTTATACTTTCTTTCAGAGGTCTAGTTGTTTCACCTTCAAAAGTGTTAAAATCAATACTAATTTGGAGTGGTTTCTTGGATTGTCAAAACCAAAGAAATTGTAATCAACCTGATCAACGCTGGCAACAGAATAAGACTATGCTATTGCATTAAATTAGTTCTTGTTATAAAATGAATCCATAAAATTACCAACCAATCTGCTTTTACTGTTAGCTACTATTACAGACTGCATAACTTAGCTGTCTTGCAGGAAAAGCTCCACTGAAGTTCTTTGAAACAAAGTTACTGATCAAATTGTCAAAATCAAACCTTGATAAATCTAGGCTTGGTATTATGCTTCATAAGATGAAACACATTCTGTTTTTGCTGTGTATCATGACCAAACTTGCTGGATTAACGTAATCACAAACATTAGATCTCACGGGACTCTGAGTGCAAAGTGGATCTATCCTTAATCAATTTTTACTGCTTTTAATGAACATATTTTCTTATACATTTAACTTGTGACTACATTGTTAATTCTTATATTTTAATATAAGCTAGTTCTTAGTCTTAATATATTTAAATTTATATACCTTCATAAGGCTCTTATAATTTCTTTTTTCTGTTTTTTTCGTGGCGTACCTTTAAAATAGCTTTTTAGCTAAGCATACCGACCATGTTAAATATATTGATTGATTGAAGGCTGCTACACTGTACTTCCACAGGGTTTCAATTCACAAAAAAAACTTATGCTCGCCTTGCATGCCTATGTTTGTCATTAAAGTAAGAGAAAGGGTAGACTGAAGTAATTCTGCAGTTTTATGACGGATATCAGCCAGTTTCACACTGCTGACGGCCGTAAATGCTTACAATATTGTGTAAATAAATCTACTTCTCTCATTGCATGAAAGTAGGATTTAACTGGAAAAAAAAGCAACAGTCCAATTTATTGCAATGTCATTTGTACAGCACAAAAACTCGCTTTTACTAGACTATTCTAAGATACTTTATTCTGTGTTTTGTTTGCTTCAATCAAAGTGGCTATGAGCCACTCAACTTAAAAATTGGATCGTCTGTAGACAGTGACAATTTTGATGCCACTGACTTGAGGTTTCAATCCGTAGGGCAAGTTAAAATTAAGGAATAGTGCAAAACACAACGGTAAGAGAATACACGAGATGTCACACTGTTGAAAACATTCATGAATTATCAGTCTCAGAGACCGAGTTATCCTCGTCCGAGAGACCGAGACCATTACAAAGAAAGTACCGCTTCTTGTCCAATCACCCGAAAGCAAGTAATAATTCTCATTTTCACTCCTCTTATTTTTTTCGTTCTTTATTTTCCCAACCCGTATCAGTTTTTTTTTCCCTCTTTGCTACCTTTTCTCATCTTAGAAATTTAAAAAAATATATGTTCAGCATAGAGTCACTATGCTACAAGGACAGCACCATGTCTCATTCGCTCAACAAAGTTAAGCCAGGGTTCATACTTGGATGGGAGATCAAATACAAATACTCCTTGTTGTAATAACCTTTTTTTTTCTTTTTTTTTTTTTTTTCCTTCCCTTTCCAAAGTGATATTTAAGACTGCAGAACTCCCTGCCTTGTGTAATGTTGTTTCTTCTATTTATCAACTATTTGTTCCTGATTTCGCCATGTCTGTATTTATGTGTATTTATGTACAGTATCGTATATGTTGATTGTCTAAAACATTTAATCCCGCGCATTTTTTTGGGGAAATACTTTATTCCCTCCAATCCAATTTGGGTTCAAACAAATTAATAACTGAACAATTTTATTTCCGTATAATTTCTCTAATATCATGCTCAGGACTAACCTACTAACATTCAGAGTATTCGGCGCAGTTTTCAAAATAGCCAGTTAAATGTGTCGGTTGCCCGCTTATTTTGATGACCCTGTAATATTGGCTTGTGAGAGTTTGTGTGGTGCAACCCGCACCGGATTTTAAACCAATGAATGTGGGCTTGCAAAAGCGTATTGGTTTCAGTGCAATCGGCACTAAACACAATCCAAGTCTAGATATGTTGGCTTGCTTGAGCAAACAACTCCTTTATTGCCAAGGAAACTCACTCAGCAAAACCTGAATGAAATAACAAAGAAAAAATAAGGCAGTGCAGTTAATTTTCAAAACGAAAGGAAGAAGAGTGTTTACTCAGGCTTTGTACTGCAATATCAAATCGTACTTAACAAGTGAGCTGATTGAACACATCATATAAAAACAGTAAAAGAATCATTATGTATATTACGTTGTTCAAGAAGAGCAAGCACATGATAAAGCAGGTAGTTATGGGAAGGCCTAGACTTGCCACAAGCCGACTTCTACTTCTATAAAATGAGCGACAAAGTAGCAATAAGCGAACAATGATCGAAGTCACAAAACTCTGGAAATGGACTTTGAGAAAGTCTAGGGAAGGCCCTTCTTTTTTCTGTGCCATTTCGTGACTTTTTATGAAACCAATTATATTTGCTTGTGTTTAGTTGCTTCCCAGTTTGCTTGTGGTTAGTTCCACTCGGGTTTGCTTGCGGTCAGCTTTCATTTTGTGGTTTGGGTGACACTGTATTACATATATTTAGGCTTGCAGTATCTATAGTTACAAAATTTGATCCCTTTCAGCTAACAACTGAATTCAACAGTCATGACAATCGGACACGAAATGTCACAAGAACGAAGGGCCTTCTCGTCTATCACGTCAAGTGATATGACTACCAATAAAATCCCATCCCCAGTTTCCACGCTCTACGCTTGGAATGCTTGGGACTATGACCCCCCTTTTGGCGACCAAATAGAATTACAACAAATGGCCTACATTTTATGACTTGGGCTTTCCTACGGAAGCCCAAGTAAAAAAGAAAACATTTTACTTACACACGTACTCTACTTGTTTGTAGAATGCAAGTAGTCAAGACCCCACAGAGCAACTTGGTGCTGTACAAGCTGCTAGGTTAGTACACTGCAACTTTCTATATGGTTCTCACTTGTTTTTACATCAGTTTGGGGGTGATCTGATGAATAAAGCCCTCCTATTTTGTAAGCAAGTTAAATTGCTGGACATGCCCAGGAATAAGCTGTCATCATTTTATTATTCCCAAAAGTAATACTGTATGTGTCTGTTCTCCCCTATAAATGTTGTTTTTTTTTTTATTTGATATTTATTTTTCTTAGGATTAATTTGAAGCGCAGGGTTTGTGATTAAAGTACTGCTGAAAAGATTATAAATACATGTATACTGGTCTCTGATCAGGCCAGAACTTGTAGGTTGCTGGGCATATACATGTACATGTTTAGGCAATTACAAGTGGCAGGTGTTGTTGTTCAAATCATTATTAGGAGTTTCAAAATGTTTTGAAGTAGGCAGCTGTAGCTGGAAGAGTAGGTGGTTGTGACTAGTCACAAGCTGCAAGGCCCCTCCTAGGGGTTCTGGGGGCATGCCTCCCTTCCTCCAGAAAATCTGAAATCTACTGTGTGGAAGCTAGGAAATGCATTTTTAGCATTTAACGTTAAATACTGATCTATCAATGGCATAACTATATGCTGAGCTTGTTTGCTGCAAGCTGATTGCAAAAACCAGAGTAACCAGTGATATATAATCAAGTAGGTGGCAGAACTCTGGCAGTTGCTGGTTTGTTTTGAAAACACTGGGATGCTAGTGTGTGTTACAGTGCACTACATGTAGAACCCATTGATGCACTCTCAGGGATTTCATTAATGTTTTCAGCAGGAGGGCAACTGGTTTTCACAGCTGGGCAAAACTAATAGAACTGAACTTCTTTATAAGAGAAACTTTCTATACATTGTCAAACTAGGTAGGCAAATCATCCTTACAGCCAGTCAATTTGCCTGGTGCCTGGCCCTTAGTGAAACTCCTGCAATGTTGAGGAAGACAAAGTGGGTGTTTATTAAGTTTTGCCCAAAAAGAACACAGCAGTTGAATCCAGGGACATTGCCATACCTTGCTCAAGTTTATCTGACAAATGTCCAGTGCTATTAAAATTTCTTCTTTCACAGTTGTAGCAGGATGAAACAGACTCCTATTATTTTTTTCAATGGTGATGTACCTTTTCTTACTAATTTCATGTGTGCTTAATTCCGCAACAATTTGTGAACTGAATTTCGCAAATATTAATTTTTGCAATTGGGCATAAATTACAGCAAAAGTGTACTAAATATTTGGTATGCTCTTAATTACAAAATCGTCACAGCAGTACTTTTAGCATCCCTGTCAGCTCTCCTCTGGTTTAGCCAAAATACAGTCTTCATGTAAATAGCTTTTCCTCACAACCAGAAACTACGGGTAATCACTTGTTGAATAGGCTTGCGACGTCCATTTCATAACACAAAATGTAGGGGTACCCGAGCATTTTTAAGAGTTAAATGAGTTGTTTTCATCTTTTTTTGAATACTTTTATGGCGCCTGTTACATTTTTCCTGTCACCTCCTCATAAGTCAAGCATTTTTTTGTCTTGCACTTGTTTAGAGTGTGCACTACGCAATCTGTAGGTACAGGTTTACAGCTGCGCTGGATTTCAGTATGCTTATCTATGGATAACAGCCAGTTTTTCAGATAGAAGACATTAATAAGCTGCTATTCTAGTGTTCCTGGTTTAAGTACAGATTCATTAAACTTGATTCGGTCACAGGAAAGTTTTGCTTTCATTTTAGTTGCATACTTGGTACAATAGTTGATTAAGTCAGTCTCAACCCTAGTGTGCAAGTGCCTTGTGTGATGTGCAGAAGTGTGCGCACTAACAAAAGTTGGCACCATCCTTAATGCACAGGCTTGATATATCCATTTGAAATCAGCTTAAGTGCTGATGAAATTGTTTCACAAATCTTTGTTAACAGGAAACTTCTTTCAAAGGATCGTAACCCCCCTATTGATGAGCTAATAGAGTAAGTACAATACTTGTAACTCTATTATTTTAAGTTATTGTATGTTAAAACTGCAATATGTTATTCGTCCCATTGTGTCAGTTTAATTCAGGTTCAAAACAATCATGGGACTTGTTTGAAGGTTTCCTCCATCAAGCACAGTTCTTTGAAGGCTGCAATTCACTGAAGTCCAATCAGCATATCAGGCCTGTGTAACCAGGGCTATCTTACATTTGGAAATATTCTGGTTTTCATTCAAAAATGAAATGCAAGTTGTGTTTCAGGAATGTGAATTGCAAAGTAGACAGTTAATCTCATCAACAATCGATGAGCTTGGGGAATGGTGCCTAAAAAGATGGTGGAACCCCAGAGCAAACTAAACCAAGCGCAGGGTATCCCTGACAACCCTGTGGGCGGCAACCACCAGGCACTGTCACACTGAAAAAACATTGGAAACACAGGATACTTACCACATACCATGAAGCCAAAGAGGGATGGGTGGGTTGGGAGAAAAGCTTAATGAGAACTGTCCAGCAGCAAAAAACACGCGGAAATGATTTGACATCTGAAGCCGAGCTGTAAAATTCAGCTTCCCCTGCAAAATCCTCCAGCCACTGACCCTGTATTCACTCTGAGGGAGACTGCTGGCCAACAATCTTGTTTCGTGTTTAACTTAGCCTAAATTACATTAAGCCACATTTCATCAAACATGGCAGATAATTTTGAAAGAATGCAACTTGATTGAACTAATTAAGCAAGAAGAATAACACAAGCCAGACTGGTAGTCATAATCTGCCCTGCTTTGAAAAGTAATTAGCCAAACCTTCTTGCAGTAGACATGATCATGTTTAAGTGTCCCAAATACTTTGTCTGACTCAACATCTGGCACACTGGCTAACATCAATGCACTGGTTCACTTTTGAACTCATTCATTCGATTTGAATAGAATGCGCTGGTTCAAATGTAAACTCCAAAGAACACTCTACTAAACTGTACACAGTTCAAAAAACCACACAATGACATGCATATAAAACTCATGTTTTTACTCATGTACACTGTAAAATGCTTAGGAACCTCGAGCAAACTAAGGACAGCCAGAGGAATGGATAAACAACTCTGCCACTACCATGTCTGATGACATAATGACGTCATACACCAAATCTCATGCTCTTATTGTTTCTTGTGTTAGCTCTTTGTTATCTTACCTGACACATCCTGAAGTAGAGATTTTTTTGTGCCTCTACAATGCCTTGCATATCAACTCTATAATGCTGCCATCTTGTCAGCCTCACATCTTTCCTCGGCTGCGTCGTTAAAAATAAATATGTTAATATTTTTCTTAACTTGTAGTTCTGGCATTCTCCCAGTTCTGGTGAAGTGCTTGGAGAGAGATGACAAGTAAGTTGCAAAAAAAAAAGTAATAAACAGAGGATATGAATTATTACATATACAAAATGTAAGTTGACAGTCAGTAACCTCTTGGTAACTTTTCAGTGACAGAACTTTGTTCTTGATTATTGAAAATATTGCAAAGTAATGTTTGTGTAATTGTATACACTGTTAGCCAATTGAAACTGCTACACATGACATGCAAATGGCTATTGTAATTTTCTTTGAGAAATAAATTGTTTTTGCATTCATAGAACGCAGTCCTAATGCAGACTTGAGCCAAGTTTCATGGGACTGTTAACCTTGGTACGATCTTGCGACACTGATTTGGCCGCCCTGCAGCAGGGGCGAAAATGAATGACATCATGGCCAAACCATGTGCTGTACATTTCGTGTCCATCTGCTAACGTCTTTCTTGTTCTCTTTTGTGGCTTCTTTTGTTATTTTCAACATTTTGGAGTTTTCTTTGAACTTGTTTTTCACTCTGATTGCATTCGACAAAAAAGGGAATGCAGTCCCAATGCAGACTAGAGTGATATTTTTTTGGCCCGGCAAAAACAAATTACATCATCACAAAGCACATGTATACAAGATGATTTGCTTTAGATCGTTCGCAATCAGTTGTTTGTTGTTTTGATTCTGGACCGTGAGTGGCCTCTTTTGTCAGGATGCGACATGACATGCTTTTGTTACATAACTCTTGGCTTTCAGGTGTTAACCATGGGAACAGCTATATTTCATTGGCCATATTTTGATTACATTAAACAAATTTTGTTGACCTTAATTGATTAGTTCCAGTTGCCACAAATAGTTCAGTATCCTGCGAAGCTCAAAATTGAATCAATGGAAGAGTACTCTGAAGCCAAGATCTATAAGAGTAAGCCAGAACTAAGGAACAGCAATGTAAATGCTGACTATTTCTATTCATTAGCGGAAATATTTGAATCAGTTGCCAGTTGCACAGAGTTTGCTTACAATAAACCACAGATAAACCGGCACGTGAGTGCAAATGCTAGCTGATATTTGTGCTTCCAGCTTAGAATACTAGATATAACACAAGTGTACTTTTAAAAATTAGCCTTTATGCTTAAAATTACCAGTAAAAGTAAAAATGAGATTTTAGCGTGAATTTTGAAGGCAAATGTTCTATTAAACTTGTGACTTACCGAAACTGGAGCCGTCACGCGACGTGTCAACAATAAAGCAAGGAAATCAAAATAAAGTTGAACCTCTATTAAGCGGCCAACTTTTACTTGACAGCCAGTGGCCAAAATCCCGGAAAAAATTGTCAGCTATACACTGTAATAAAAACCTCTATGCAACGGCCACCTCTATTAAGCGGCCGTGGTCAGCTTCTTGCCACCCCAAGGGTGATTTTGTTTTGTTTTATACCTCTATTAAGTGGCCAGTTCTCTTGTCCCCCAGAGTGGCTGCTTAATAGAGGTTCGACGGTAATCTACAGAAAAATAGTGGACTTTGTCATTATGTTACATCTGTAAAAAGGCTTGCTTTCCTAATAACACAAGAAAATTAAAGTGTGAATTTAATTTAACTGATGAGGCACTGAAAAAATCTTTTTCTCTTCCCCATTCAGTTGCTTTGGAGCCATATGTCAAGGCGTTTCAGTTCAAAATATTGAACTCTATACTCTACACGAATTCAAAATTACACAAAATTGGCAACAGCAGCA